CGGAAACCAGTTAGTTTTATTTATTAGACAGGGTTTCAAAGTGAGCTCTCACGGAAACTTTCAACCATTACCACCAGTTAGTTCCATTTATTAGACAGGGTTTCAAAGTGAGCTCACACAGAAAGTTTCAACCATTACCACCAGGGTTTGAAATGCTACAAATTTCAATAATTACTTATTATTTTTTTATTCCTTGTATTAGTCAGTTTATGTATTAATAATCAACGAAATGAAAATGAATTTGTAGTTATTTTCCTTGTTTCTTCATGGTGTATTAAAACTTGACCTCAAAAAGAAATATGACGCTTTGAAGTATGTTATATGATATCTCAAGAACAACGACCTTGGTTGTGGTCTCGCATTACTAGAGTATTGTAACAAAATAAACCTAGTCTTGGTGGTTACGATAGAAAAAGGTCCGTTATGGAAATTGCAGAGGCTCGTATTTAAACCTGCAAATTATACTTAACAAATAAGCACTGAGATGGTTTATCTAGAAAACTAGAGAAATCAAATTGATGTCCAAGAAAGTAACTAACTTGTTACTGATTTCTGAGTTGTTTTTTTAGGAATTCATTGTGTTACTAATTGCTACGGTAAATGTTCAATCATAGCAATTTATTAGAATTCTATCTGATTCAGTTTTGTTTCGATTACCTGAAACCGTGGAAACAAATTGGGAAAAATGGTCCATGAAGACCATTAAAAGTATAATAAGTCAAATTAAACAGAGTAATTTAAATTTGCTACCCAGAGCTTTTGTAAATACATACATACATTACAAAACAGCCATATTTCACAAGTTACGATTTAAGCGCCGAAAGCTGGCGAAAAATAAAAAAATCTAAAAATTGTTATAAACATCAGTTAACTGTATACATTGTTGTTATTTTTTTTTCCACATTCCCTTTAGTTGTCCATTGCACCTGGAAATCAAACATGTGTAAAAAATAGTATTTCAGCCATGCGTGATATTAATGGCGTGTAACACTTTGTCATGATGGTTCATTTCTTGCTATGGTTCTTGCCTTTGGTTTGTCATATATATATATAGTAGAGGTGTCATGGTAACAGTAAATCCTATTTCGAATCTGTCCTCAAGTGAAAAGAGCCCAATTTTCAAATTTTTGTTTTTCTGCACTAAAACAGTAACAGACACATGTGTTTCCTTTTAGTTTCTGGAGTAAAAACGTGGTTTCTCCAATGATATAACTCACTTTGTTTTATTTTTTTACTCTACATGTCACAGTTAGAACTTCGAGCAGCTTCTGAAATCAGCCAACTGAATATTTCTTTAAATGTTTATTGACTTAGAAAATAGCATTCCGATTACTATTGCGCTACTATATTTTCTCGCTTAAAATCAGAAGAGAGCTTTTCCTTAAATATTAGAAATCCTTTTAAATATTTTATCTTATTTTTAAACAGCTATGCATTACGTTACCTTGATTTCCAGAAAAGTGTTTTTAGTGAATTGTAATACAATCTATGTTTCTAAGTTGATATATATTTAGAGAAATTAAGATTTTGATAATCAACTGTTTAAGATGGGACGTAGGTGTTGTAGACATCGGCGAAAGAAAACTCAACACAATTATGCATGTGTCAAACTTTATGCTATAGTTTTAAGACAGAAACATTTTGTTTCCATATTTATATATAACAGAATCATTCTAGACTACGTAAACTTACAAGTAGCCTTACAATGGTAAGTCTGTAGACTTACAACTCTAAAAATCCGGGGTTCGATTCCCCGCGGTGGACACAGCAGATAGTTCAATGTGGCTTTGCTCTAAAATAAACAAACAAATAAACACAAACCTATGATAACAGGGAACCGTTATTATATTATGCCAGAAAAACGGCAGTTTAGAATTCATAGTTAGGTTAAGAAAGTACTGCAGTTTTTAAGGACGTAATGTTCTAATTAGTTGTTCTGTTACGGAAAATAGTGAAACTTGCAGAACTGGATATCGTAGTTATGTCAGGAAAGTACTGCAGGTTTTAAGGACGTAATGTTCTAATTAGTTGTTCTGTTACGGAAAATAGTGAAACTTGCAGAACTGGATATCGTAGTTATGTCAGGAAAGTACTGCAGTTTTTAAGGGCGTAATGTTCTAATTAGTTGTTCTGTTACGGAAAATAGTGAAACTTGCAGAACTGGATATCGTAGTTATGTCAGGAAAGTACTGCAGTTTTTAAGGACGTGATGTTCTAATTAGTTGTTCTGTTACAGAAAATAGTGAAACTTGCAGAACTGGATATCGTAGTTACGTTAGGAAAGTACTGCAGTTTTTAAGGACGTAATGTTCTAATTAGTTGTTCTGTTACGGAAAATAGTGAAACTTGCAGAACTGGATATCGTAGTTATGTTAGGAAAGTATTCCAGTATTTATAGATGTAGTGCTGAAGATTGCGTTTTTGTTACGGAAATCATATGACCTCGAATATTGAAGCTTTGTTGTTACGACAAGAAATTTTACTATCGGAAAATATTAATTATATCATTACGACCACAGAAATAAGAGAACGTTTAGACATGTTCACATTGTTGGTGGTGTTTAGTTGCGTTTTTACATATATTTTGTGAGTCTTTTAGTCTTCTAAACAATAACATATTACTTTTACTATAGTTAACAAAAAATTGCTTGTGCACAAATAATAAAGGTAGTATTATTAACAAAGATTATCTTAATGGATAAGGCTATTTTTGGTAATGTTACTAGTTAACCATTCACAAGAGATATTATCAGTAATCGTATATAACTTATGGTAAATATTTTCATCAGTAAAATATAATTTTAAATAACAGTGTCCTGATAATCAACTAATAACACTTCCCAAATACTAGCTTAATTGTGTTAACTCTTTCTTATTAAGTACATTTTGTATTATTATACAGTTTTAATTAATTATACTTGTCATAAGACATTGTCATTAGGCCTATTATGTTATTTCAACTACATTACTTTTAACACACACTGGCAATACTGTATTAAAACTTTCTTATTAGGTACATTTTGTATTATTATACAGTTTTAATTAATTATACTTGTCATAAGACATTGTCATTAGGCCTATTATGTTATTTCAACTACATTACTTTTAACACACTGGCAATACGTATTAAAATTTTCTTATTAGATACATTTTGTATTATTATACAGTTTTAATTAATTATACTTGTCATGAGACATTAGCATTAGATCTATTATATTTCAACATTGCATTCTTTATTCACTCCTTTTTTTTAAGAAGAAGAAAAGTGTTTAATATTACTTCTACTACATTATGTCCATTGTCAGCTTATAAAAGACATTCACACCATAATAACTGTTATGGTGCTTTTTTTTCATTGAAACAATATATGTAGTTTTCAGTCTTTTAAGTTGTTTCATTCTTATTCATAACTTGTCTCAAAATTAGCTACATATTGAAAAATCTAATCATTTATCAGATGTAAATAAAATGTATTTACTTCTATCTAAGACGCTCCCCAGTTTACAACGCTAGAATCCGGGTTCTGATACCCGTGGTGGGCAGAGCACAGATAGCCCTTTGTGTAGCTTTGTGCCTAACTACAAACAAACAAACAAATCTATCTGAAACTTTATACACTGTACTTGTGGAGACGCACACCAGAGAAATATTTCGACTTACTGCGAAGGCTAGTATCATTGGAGGAGTTATTAACGAAATATTTCAACTTACTGCCAAGGCCAGTATCATTGGAGCGGTTATTAACAAAGAAATATTTCAACTTACTGTCAAGGCTAGCATCATTGG